AATTTGCTTCCATTTTTAAAAGTTAACATCTTTACAGAGTTAGAATATGTATCTGTCCTAATTAATAGTAGGAGTAGGCTACATTCCTCTGGAGAATCAGACAATCCTTAGGCAAGTTGGATGCCCCAGCATGACATCACAAGTCACAATAATCTTTTTGTTTTATTTCCAAACTTTGGATAATTTTTCTTTGTGGGACACATATTGTTTTGCCTGCTGACCATTCAGATTTTTCTGGCAACTCCCCCTTTCCCCTGACTCCATCCATGTGATTTCAGCACAGCCACCTTGTTAGCAAGAGGCCAAGGGTGGCCTCAGTTCAAGGCTGTGGAAATGGCTCAGGAGAGGGCTAGAGTGGGGGGCTAGCGGCCAGGGGATTACTGTTTTTCATCTTCTTGCACTTCACCCAAAATTTGCTAAATTGAGTGAAATCATGCCAGGTGTGTTGTTTTCAATTTTATCAATTTACAATTTGTGAGACTGGATTTTTGGTTCTGATTATAATACAGATAAATTACATGAATAAATTGGTTGTCAAACTCAACTGTATTTTATACTGTCAAATATGAACATACAAATTGACATCTTTGCTTTAAAACAGGATTCTCTGTAGTGCCATATCATAAAATAAACTTTTGTGTTGAAATTGTTTTGTCTTCCATTTTTATTAACATATCTTTGTTTCTGTTTTTTATATGAGGTGTGAGGTAATCAACAATCTTCCGTGAGAGAGATTCTCCTTTATTCCAAGATCATGTCCTACTTTTTTCATGTTAAAATGCACTTCACATGTGTGCAATGATAGTGATAGTGATAGAGTAGATGTTTTTGTTTGTTTTATTTTGTTCCTAATGTTCTTACCAAGAAAAATAAAAGTAGGCAATCCTATGTCTGTTCCTTTTTTGCTTGTTTGCTTGCTTAGAGATTTGCTTTCTTAGGAAAGCCAGGTCTGGAAATCATTCTAGAAAACCTCGGAGAGTAAAGCCACGTTAATGTTTCTATCAGTCAAGAGTCTAGCTCCAAACTTTGTAATTTCAGAAACCAGAATTTTTTTCTGCACATCGAGTGTAAGTTAGTTCACTTGGGGTAGACTCACATTAACCAAGATGAATATAGAAAACCTAACTTAGTATCTAGAACAAAAAATATCAATAGATTAAACTAAAATTTGGGGTCTCACCACAGAGGGGATGAGATAATTAAGCTCAGTACTTCTTTTCCCTGCCCTTTCATCACCCTGGGTGCCAAATTGCAATCAGGAAGCGGCCAGTGAGTAAGTAACGGAGCAGGGAAAGTGGCTCTAGGATTAAAGGACTTGAAAGGTTGATAGCTTCAGGCTTGTGCCTGGAAATAAGGTTGCTGTGCCAGGGAATCCTCTGCCTTGGGCAATGTTTGGGTGGACATTGCAAACATCTGTATCCATGCATCCTTTATTGGCCACTGGGGTAAAGAAACCTCTTTTTTAACCACATGTCTTTCTTTTCTGATGGATGTAATACCTTCTGTCAGAGTTCTCCAGGGCTGGAAGCTATTCTACTCCTTTAAGATGTCTTCACACACTTCTCCTTTGACCCCTAGGGATTGATGGTAATGTTTGATTCTAAGATGATGATCTTTCTTTCTTTGATATCTTTGTTTTCTAGGAAGTATCACCACTTCTATCCACCCCTCACTGTGTACAACAGTCACCATTCTCTTTGAATATTACAGAGATTGATTGAGGCCTTATCTGATGTATAAAGATAGTATTTCACTCTGTGCCTTCAGTCTCTGTATATCAAACCAAAGATACCACTATGGGATGAATGCTTGTGTTCCCCCCAAAACCTGTATGTTGAAGCCCTACTCCCCAATGTGATGTTACTTAGAGGTTGGGCCTTTGAGAAGTGATTAGGTTTAGATGAGGTCATGAGGGTGGAGCCACCATGACAAGACTGATGCCCTAATAAGGGGACGAAGGGACCAGAGTTCGTTCCCCCTCCACCATGTGAGGATTCAGCAAAGAGCAGGTCCTCTATAAACCAGGGAGTGGGCTCTCACCAGAACCCAACCATCCTGACACCCTGATCTTGATATCAAACCTCTTAATCTCAAACTCGTGTGCCCAATGCACAGAAAGCCAATTCTGAGACATCAGTGCTTAGAAATGGAGAAAGGTTTATTTGAATTGGCCAAAACAAGTATGCTGGGTTCACTTAACTTTGCCTCCCCAAGAATAGAAAGCAAGGGGGTTTTATAGAGCTACAGGGATTGGCAGGAGGGGCTTCTGGGAAACAAAGGGGTCACTCCTGATAAGCCCCTGGACACTCTGACTTCTGGGCTTCACGGGCTGCTGGGGGCCAGCCATGCGGTGATCACAATCTCCTGAAGGCATTCTCTGTCTTCTGCAAAGCAAGCTCACAAATCCTCTGGGAAAAAAGCTCACAAATCCTCAAGACCCCTGAGTTACCCCTCAAGTTAAACAGGAAAAACAGCAAACTGGTTTAATATTTAGAGTGACCCTCAGGTACTCGGCTTCCATCTGAGACTTCCACCCTCCAGAACTTCAAGAAAAAATTTCTATTGTTTACACCATGCAATGTATGGTGCTTGCTACAGCAGCCTGAACTTACTAAGACACTCCCACCAATACACTTTGCGGAGGCCAGTTATTTTGAAGGAAATTTTTTTTTTTTTTTTTTTGGCTCTGGGTCCATGTGGAAGTAGTGTGTCCAGATTTTAACAACATTTTGTATTGCACGATCTATTGTTTATCTCACATCACTTTTGAGAATTGTCTTTATCCCTAAAATACTCTTTGCTATTGTACTGATTTTGAGCTTTAAAAATCTTACTTGAGTTTCCTTCAGTTTTTCTTTCTCAGTTATTTTTGCCCTGTGGCTACTTAAAGACAAAGAGAGAGTAAACATAAAGTTCTGGGCTCTTAACATTGCAAATACATATATTTTTTCCTTTAAGAACTAGCTCAGTCCCCAAATTAAAGCTAACATTTATTAGCTAGCACTCTCACTTGTTACCATCTTAGATAGTCCAAGTTATAAACTTATGTGATTCTGAATAATAGAAATGATTCCTAGCTTACAGTAAGTTAGACGATGTGAAATTGCCAAATTCCCACTAAAAATGTTTTGACCTATAAAAAAGGAAATTTCACGTGGTTCAATCTAACAGTTTTCACATATAACAATCCATTCTTATAAGCAGTATTTTCCCATAGCTCCCGAACTGTTTATGAAGCCAAAAAAGTGCTATGTGTTGGGAAAAGGTGAAGTGAGGCAGGGTTGGGGGGCTCTGCTGAGTTTGAGGGTTGTTCTCACAACCCAAAGCTCTTCAAGATCGCCATAAAGATGAGAAAGCCATTCCGTCTCAGACTGCTGCTTCATTCCATGTCCTAATATCCTTGAAAACTCCTTGATGAAAGCCCATATACCTCTTTTGAATTATCTGCCTGTTAGAAACATTCTCTCTAATTTCTGTCTGACTTTGTACATTTTACACAGACATTATGAAGTCTTTTCCCACAAGGCCCTGAGTCCCTTTCTCAAAATTCCTAAGGTTTCAGGTACACTTGTAAAAATGGTCTCTCTGAACACCCACAATGCTTTGTTTCTCTAAAACTCCAGAGAGTCTGAGACTTTTGGTCGCTCCCCAGAAGCCACAGCATCCCCGTTTATTCCTCTTCTGGTCCTTCTGATGCCAGCGTGTGCTTTCTTTGGTTCCACTGTGCCTAGGATTTCTTTCTTCCAACAGTTTCCTTCTCTCAGAATGAGAATGAATTTCTATTTTTTTCCTGTCTTGAAATAAAATAAAGCCACACAAAGAAAAAGGTGACAGCTCTTACTTTCCCTCTTTATTTTATTTTTTTAAAGGTTGAATAATAAATATTTCTCTCTGAGATGGGTCAGATCATGTGTGAAATATCATGCTGAATTCTAACTGCTACTTTTTAAGGATACTTATATTCAGTTGACTCACCTGAAATTTCATTTTTTGTAGTTCCAAAAGGGTCAAATATCAAGAATTTAATTTGGTTCAAAAAATGCTTCACAAAGAGAAAGACTAAGAAATGGAGAAGTTTGGAACTACATCGTGTGAAGACCCAGGAAATTGAAGATTTTATGATAACTATATCTAAAACTGGGAAAGATGTAAGGGTGAAGAGGCAACAGATGTCTGTATTGTTGCAGAGGCTAAAAGCTGAGTTTCAGAAGGAGAAGTTTTAATGGACAGATTTTAGTCTAACATGATGAATCAGTTTTAATTTTTCAAAGCTGCATGCCAGAAACTAGAGTTAATTCTAGAACTACAGCGATTAGCACTGCATGGAAGATTCTAGGGCGGAAACCAGTGAAGTGTGGCCTGTGGCTAATCTGGCCCACTGCCTATTTTTGTAAATAAAGCTTTATTGGAACACAAGCGTGCCCATTAGTTTACATATTGTCTCTGGCTGCCTCCTCACTTCAATAGCAGAGCTGAGTAGCTGCTACAGAGACCAAATGGTCTGCAAGCCTGCAATATTTACTATCTAATCCTTTACAGACAAACTTTGCCAGCATGTTCTAGAGGAAGATACTCTTAGTTATTTTAGATGGGCTAACACTATTTGTGAGAAAAATCTGGATCCAAGGCTTATAAAACTACCGAGAAAAAAGGAGAATTGGCTGGCTTACTCAGTATGTGCTGGTATGACCAACTTACCCTGGTTTGTCCAGAACTTTCTTGGTTCTAGCACTAAATATCCTGTGTTCCAGGAATTCTTCCAGCCCTGTGCAAACTGGGACAGTTGATCACCCTAGTATGTACAGTGGCCAGAGCAAAGTCATGAGAGAAACTAGAGAACAAAGAAATAAAGCCCAATTTGGAGATGAGATCAAGTAGGAACACTTTGAAAAGCCCTCATGGTCAAAGTCCACATGGTAAGTTTGACTGATGAAATATGGAACGTGCCCAGTATGTCAGTCAGAATTAAGTTCAACCATGAGTGACAGAAAATGCAGAAAGACAGTGACTTAAATAAAAGTTTATTTCTCTTTCATATTAACAAAGATGGGGAGTCAGTAGTTCAGGACTTGTAGGGCAGCTCCGTAATCATCAGGGACTTAGACTCCTTCTACACGATAGTATTATCATCCTCAAAATGTTTCCACCACCTTCTGGACCAAGATGGCTGCTTAAACTCCAGTCATCACAGCTACGGTACAGTCAAGAGGAAGGAAGAAGAGATGAAAAGGGGAGCATCTTTGTCCTTTAATGATTCTTTTTTTTTTTTTTTTCCTGCTTTATTTCCCAAACCCCCCCAATACATAGTTGTATATCTTAGTTGCAGGTCCTTCTAGTCATGGGATGTGGGACGCTGCCTCAACGTGGCCTGACGAGCGGTGCCATGTCTGTGCCCAGGGTCTGAACCCTGGGCCGCCGCAGTGGAGCACGGGAACTTAACCACTCGGCCACAGAGCCAGCCCAATGATTCTTCCTTAAAGTTACACAAACCACTTCTTCTGACATGTGGCCATACCTACCTATTAGGAGAGGCTGGGAAACATAGTCTTTATTCCTAGAAGTCAAGTGCCCAACTAAATATAGGAGAGTTTATTACTAATTAAGAAATAAGGAGTGAATATTGGGGAACAACTAGCACTCTCTAAAACATTTAGATAATTATAATTGTTATAAGTTTAAAGATAATATTGTTGGGCTGCCTTTATTTATCAAGAACTGTGCCAAATCCTTCATGTAAATTTTTTCATTTAATCGTTCCAAAAACCTGTGAGTTGGATATTATCATTATTCTGTATTTGATAAATGGGGAAATGTAGACAAAAATGGATAAAATTAATTATACTAGATTATACAGCTATGAGGTGGAGCTAAGATTTGAACTCAGATTAGTTTTCTTCATTAGAACTGTGAGCTTAATCATCTTGCAATGTGGCCCCCAGAGGATTCTGTAAGGATTGATTTTTACCAAGATTTTCCTAGTGCCTAGACCAAAATCCTGAGCATAATGGTCACATGAGGTCAATCATTGGATTGCTATAGATTTCTAGTACAGGTAGATCTCATATGACTATTATGGCTCCTCAAAAAAGGACAATATATGCATATCTATATTTAATCTATATATATACATATACACTTACTATAAATTTTATTGGTAAAAAGAAGAGTAGCACACAATTTTCAAATAATAAATACACAATACTCTTTATAGTAAATTCTACATAGCCAATTGATTCCCATAGATTGCTTTCTTTGATTTTTGCCAAACTTTTGTATTCATAGCCAGCCTACAGTTGTAATTGACAAACAAGTGTAGTTTTGATCCGAATACTAGTTGACATTTTTATTTCCGTTAACCACTGAGATGGAAGTGAAACAACAAAGATGACGGGAACTTCACTCATTCATCAATCATGTGAGTAAACTCTTTGCCACATTGGATTATAGTTCTCAAATACTGGAAGAATATTTACTAAGTTTTTGTGTTATTGATAATGTAACAGCTAAAGACACAGCATACTTGTAAGTTTAGTCTGCTTATTAACATTTTCTTCATTACTTTCTTAAGTTTAGAACAGGGATTTAAAACTATAGCCCTTTGGCCAAATCTCCCTCCACTCATCTTTGTAAACAAAGTTTTACTGAAATACAGTCATGTCCATTCATTTACATATTATCTGTATCTGTTTTTATGCTACAATATCTGAGTTAAGTAGCTGTGACTGAGGCCATGTGGCCTACAAAGTTGGAGATATTTACTATCTGGCTATTTAAAGAAAACGTCTGCCAACCTCTAGCCTAAAAGGACATACAGCAATAAATAAACAGAAGATAGGAGCCCACGTTTTCAGTGAAAGAGATGACTTTCACAAAGATAAGAAGCTGTTTTGGGAAAGAAGGTCTTAGAAGATCTTAGGAACAACAACAAAAGTGGTAACACACCTTTAGTTAATCTATGTATTGATCCTGGAATCCCAAGGAATGTGGCAGAGCATTTATCCCAGCAGAAGATATTCATATTTCCCCTAGATGCTGATGAAAAAGAAATTATCAATGGAAAGAGATATCGATGAGGAACCAAGCAAACCCTGGATGGGTACAAACGGTCTCCCTGCCTTATAATTTCATTACATTAGCTTTTGAGCTTCATAGCACGCAATTGAGCATAGCAGGCATAGCAATTGCCAGAAACAGAAGCATGAAACAATTGCCAGATAGTGTCCTCTCTAAAAGTTCATCTTTCTCTTCTGAAGCACAAAGGCCTTAAGTTTCAAAGATAGCTACAGGTTTATCACATTTCTGCATTTTCGATGTTTATAAGGCCCAGAAAAGAAAAAATAAAATAAGATTGCCAAAGAAAATGAGGACATCTGGGAGCTGCAGAAATAACAGATATCTTAAAAAAATAAATGATTTTACAGGGGAAAATTGACACGGAAATTCTCAAAATGTAAGTCATTAGTTACTTATTTCTTTTCTGGGTATCCAATCCAATTATTGCTGGAATCAGAAACAGAAAGCTCTTCATGGTATATTTAACACTATTACTACATGACATATTTAATATTTACAAAGCCATATTTATACTGCTAATCAACTGTTCAAAGGTGGGAAATGAGAAGCCCCTCTTCAAAAGTACTAAAATGAGAAGCCCCCACTGACTCCCCTCTCAGGGTCAATACTGCACACTTGCTACAACGCAGGTTCTTCTGAGGTTAGCATCATCCACTACCATGTGTCTTATAATATCTCAATTCTCTGATCATTTTTCTGTTTTGGAAATGCTGCTAAACTGTATTTTGTTTCGATCCCAGAGTATCATGCCATCTTGGCATAGGCCTGAATTAATAAACACAAATGGAAACATCGACACCAAAATCTTGGGACAGTTGCATCATAAAGAGATGGTATACATAGTCTAGAAAATATAAATTTTTGATGATTGTTAAAATAAAAACATAAAGTTTAAAAATTCTTATAGAGGACTCCCAGAGCTCTGAAATTATGTCCAAGGATCCTGAGAAATCCATTTGAAAAGAGTTGATAGACAATATTTTTCAAATGCATTTGACTTTGAAACCATGTATTTGTGGAGAATCCAGTGGAAATAAACTTTGGAAAATATTGGATTCATGAAAGAGGTAAATTTGGTCCATTTTGTCTCTTCTCTATGCTAGAATGGCCAAATGGAGAAAGAGCCTAGCCTACGGTTTGTTTTCTCAAGATTCTGGGGAAAGATGGTTAAATATGAAGTTGAACCATTTCCTTCACATAGCCCAAGACATTTTTAAGCTTGAAAAGTAGGAAATAGACCATTGTACTTTCTGGGTCCTGAGAGGACCCAGAGCTAAAGTGCCAACCTATTGTAAAAGCAGTAGCTCTTTTGGTGATCTGTGACGTGACTGGAAATGGACAGTTCAGAATGTTCTCAGGAGAGAGCCTGTTCTTCAGAAACTCTGAGAACAATTTTGCAGTCTTGGTAAGTGTGGATAAAGTCAGGTCCCTTGCACACTCTTTAGGGCTTTAGTGTGATTATGTCTCTACATTTATGGAACACTTTTTCTCAAAAGGCCTTCAGGCATTTTATCAACAACGAGAGAGAGTGGGAGAGAAAGAGAGAGAGAGAGAGAACGAGCTTGTGTAAAATGAAGTTTTTGTATTAGTCGACTTGGGCTGCCATAACAAAATACCACAAACTGGGTGGCTTAAACAGCAGTTCTGGGGGCTGAAATTCCATGACCAAGGTGCCAGTAGGGCTGGTTTCTCCTGAGGCCTCTCTCGTTGGCTAGCAGGTGGCTGCCTTCTTTCTGTGTCCTCACACAGCCTGTCCTCTGTGCGCACACACTCATGGTGTCTCTTCCTTTTCTTATAGGTCACCAGTCCTATAGGATTAGGGTCCTATTCTCATGACCCCATTTAACCTTACTTACTTTTCCAAAGGCTCTATCTTCAAATGCAGTCACACTGGGGGTTGAAGGCTTCAACATACAAATTTTGGGAGGACACAGTTCAGTCCATAATGATGCATGATCATTACAGAGCATTCTAACAAAATATCAAAGTATGAAAAAGATAGTAAATTTTCAAAAATCGTCTAACTTCCTACCACTCAGAAATAACAATTTTAGCCTTAGGTGAAGGTCATTTCACATATCTCTCCAACCATTTGGATAAATCACTAGCTTGATAGACAGTGAACAGGGTGAATAGATTTCAATCCATGTAAATGCATTCATAGTATATAAATGACTTTTTAAGTAAATAACTTGAATTGTTAGTTATGTAATATTTTAATTTGCAGTTGATTGTAAAACCAATGTATAAAGTTACTATTTTTCCTAAAGATTTTTAAATCACCCATACTGTAGGGAATATTTGTTTTCATGTATAAATGTTGTTCACTAATTCTTATGAACATTATACATGAGACCCTCTAAGCTAGACTACAGGAAAGAAAAGAAGGAAAATCTGTGTGTGTATGTCTAGTCATCTAAACCATTCAATAGACGTAAAAGAAAGGGTGGAAAATTAGGAAGGGCTCCTAGTTGCTCACAAGGAGCATTTCTGTCTGTTTTAATACAGTCTGTATAAGTTTATAAGTTGATTTATTGTTTTGATTACTAAACCAGACAATGTAAGTGACACCATCTAGCGTAGAACCCTAATAGCTGTTCATAGTGGATGCTCCATAAACATTTGCTGCATTAGAATCTAAATCTTAATCAGAGCCACAAACATTCTGTTTTTTGAAAAACCAGAAAAGATTGGCCACCTGTCTTCCCAATTTGGCATTTTGTGTTGAAGTTCTATTGAATAACTGTCACCCTTATGCCCCAGGCACTGGTCTAATGGAGTGGGATTTCACAAAGGTGTGAAGTTCTGCAGCATCCATAAATCCATAAATTAAATGATGCAATTATACTATACTTAATGTAGCAGAAAAAAGCTGAAATGCAATAAAACTCATTTAAAGCTTAGGAGCAATATTTCTTAAACTCAACACATATTATCTCCTCAGAAATTTCTTCAATTTTCTTTTAAAAGATTATGAAAACAATTAAGATTTTGATGTCATTTTTGTATTTTTGAAAAGTTTCTGTTTTAGATTCCTTGCTATAAATGATGATGGGATTAGGTTCTTATCATTCCTCCTAATTTCTCCTCTCATTACTTAATTTTCATTATGTGCATTTGTGTGCATGGAGGCACACATTCTCACAGTCAGAATAACATACATATTCTATTCTGTGACCACAATTTCCACTGTTTCTTGATTCCATTTCTCTATGAATTTAATGTTCACCAACAGTCTTTTTCTTCATCTTCTGCACTTCCAAGTTAATTTAAAAACAATGTCTTCGTTATTGGGAACTTACAAGGTACTTTTATTCCATAACGACTGTGTGAGTACTGTATGGCTATAGTTCTTGCATCTTTAAGAGTGTATATGAACTTTATTCCGTGAAGACAACTTGATTGGGCATGGTATTCATGGGTCATACTTTTTTTCTCTACGAATTGTATAGAATTTGCTCCTGTATTCTAGCTTTGAATGTCAACGTGGAAAGCTTAAAGCCATACTAACATCTCCCTTTCTTGCTGTCTGAATGCCTGAAGAATGTCTTTTTTTCAGTAAATTTTAAAAGCTTAGCCAGGTTTGTCCGAGTGTCAATCACTGTGAATCTATTTTTTCTTCTAAAACAAATTGAGTTTTTTCAACTTGCAGATCAAGTCCTCACTTTTCAGGGCATCTCTTTGAATGCCTTTCTGTTTCATTTATGATCTTCCTTACCTTATCAGGAACATTCAGGGGTAGCAATTTTCCTTATGTTGAATCAGTTTCTCCATCTTCCACAATATTTTTTTTTCCAGAATTGATTTGAGCATTCTGTCGTTTTCCTTTGCGAATATCTCAAGACTTTCCTTAAGTAAGTAATTCTCTTCTCAGTCGTGTTATTGTGTTTCCTGTTATGTTCAATTAATTTATTGTGTCTATAATGGAATCATTTTTCTTCTCAATTTCTTGCCTCAATTCTCCAAGCTCCATTTTGATTTCATTCCATTGTTTCGTCATCCAGGTTTTTGTTGAGCTCACGTTCTTATTATTCTAAACCATAAAACATTCATGGGAAATTACCTCTCTTTTATAGATTCTTTTTTTTCTAAAATGGTTTCTTCCTCCATTTATTCCTTTTTTTCCCCTGTTCTTTCTTCTATTTTTCTGCTAAATACTTATACAGTTTCTATAAGTCTACTTTTCATCTTGCTCCTGTTTAATGCAGGCCCTACTCTCCAGCTGCTTTACTCGTTTGTATATAGTGTGCTCAGATTTTTTTGGCCCTCCTTTACTCTCACCTTATCCAAGACATGTTTGTCTTCCCTTTAATCTACAGTTTGTGAGTTGGGTTTTAGGTTTGATTCATTTTTCATACTCTGAAGATATGGGGGTAATAATGTAAGATCAGCTGCAACTAGTCTCCTTTAATAAAAAGTTATCAATTTTCTACCTAGTAGTAGTGGTGAGGGAAGTAAAAGTTCTCTTATTTCCATAGTTGACAGTTATCCTAAGATTCAGATTATTCTACCAATTGAGCATGGAATCTTAGAGTCTGTACTCATGTCAGAGTCCACTGTGGTTATATGTTTTCTAATTTTATTTCATTTTTATCCAGTAGAATTGCCACTTCTTCTGTCAATTCTCATATAATACAGAAAATATATGGATATTGCCTTATATCCTTTTCATTAGGCATTAGTGATACTTCGAAGGTTTGTCTGGCTCACTAGCACTGTTTCAAGTGGAGGTTAGCAACGATGTTGAATCATTTCAGAATCTTCTTTAAGAACTTTCCATCCCAAAACTTTTTGATATTTTTACTACTGACCTGTGACCATGGTTGAATTTTTGCTTTTCCTAATAATTTATTTTTCTTCATTTCATTAGATAATTTTGGGTGAGGGAGTTTCTGATCTGACCTCAGTATGCCATAATTACCTATAAGTCCTCATCAATTAGGTTTTAATTCTGCCAGAGCTGCTGAATGATAGCTTTGTAGTCTTCATCACACTTCCAGAGGTACTGGGTTTCACCAACTAATAACAAAACATTAAAAAACCCCCACAGAACTATCCTATGTATGCTGGTGAAAACTAACTATGCAAGTCAGTTGTTCATTGATATTTGTTGCTATAAGACCTAACACAGAATGTTGGCACTCCAAGATGATCCTATTTATTCTTATAGCAACAAAAATACTGGCAATTTAAGTGGAAGGTTATTAAAAGGCCCAAGCGGCACTGTCAGTGCACATTGCCCTTTTCTGCAAACAGGAAAGCAGATGCACAATTGCAGTATCTTGCTCAAGGTCAAACTGCTATAGAGGCAGCATTTGAGCTCCTGTTAGCCTGAACACTATGCCTTTTAAATGTTCCTTAGGCAGGAAATATTAAACAACAATCACACACTTACCTCCTGACTATGCAGAACCTGAGGCGGGGAGCCACGCAGTGCGGACTTCCAGCATCGAGTAATCAGTCTCCCATGGATGATCAGACACTAGTGTGCACAGAGGTTTGGGCATTTTTCCCCCCTTCTGTTGGCTAATACATTCCCTTCTTTCACTGTGGAATTGTACCGGCTTAGAAACTGCCAAGTTTGTGTCTCTTAAAAAATTCAGCACATACTTTCAGTCATAAAAGCAGAAACCCAACTGATTCCTGCCCTAGCAAATTTTAGGAGTTGATTGAAAATATGCAAAGAAATAGCTCTAAATGTTCAACTTTATTGCATGGGGATGGAGAAAGGCAAGGGGGTGTCAGGGGCCCTCCAACGTGGGAGGAAGACAAAGGAGTCCCTTCCCCATTCATTCTGAGCTGGGAAAACCCAGCAAAATAGAATCAAGGCCTCGAGACAGGCCCCTCCTGCTCCACCCTCTCCTCAACGTCATGACCCCAAACGAACTGTTTATGGGAATACTGCACCCTTTGACTTTCACAGTACATTTTCTTTAATCATGTGGATTGTTTTACCAATGAGACTTTAGATACTCTTTGCCAGTATCCCTTCATTGGAATAAGTAGAAGAGGCACTTAAAAAATGGGTGTGGTAGACAGAATAATGCCCCCCAGTCCCAAAGATGTTCATATCCTAACCCTCAGAACCTGTGAGTATTTCACCTATATGGCAAAAGGGACTTTGTAGATGTTATTAAATGAAGGATCTTGAGATGGGGAGATTCTCCTGGGTTCTCCAGTTGGGCCCAATGTAATGACAAGGGTCCTTATAAAGGGAAGAGGGAGACAGGAGACCAGTCTCAGAGGAGGTGGTGTGACGACAGAAGCCGAGGTCAGAGAGGGAGATTTTAAGATGCTACACTGCTGGCTTTGAAAGTAGAGGAAGGTCCCATGAGCCAAGGAATACAGACAGCCTCTAGAAGCTAGAAAAGACAAGGAAATGGATCCCCCCAGAAGGAATGCAGCCCTGCTGACACATTTCAGAATTCTGACCTCCTGAGCTGTAAGATAATAAATGGGTGTGGTTTTAAGTAATTACTTTAGTAATTTGTTATAACAGCAATAGGAAACTAATACAAACGTATACATTCATGACGAAATTGTTGACATGCTGATCTCAGAGGAATAAAGCACGGCTACTGCGGGAACTCTGAGGCAAATAGTAAATCTAGTGTCATACCGCAAAATCCAGGGTCCCTGAGAAGTTATAGGAAGGAGACTGTCACCTATTATTAATTATGAGAGAAACATTTCTGAAGGAATAAGAACTTTTTCTTCAGGTGCGTACATTATTTTTCAGGAGCTGGTAGAAAGCAATTTTAAGGGACACAAGAATTATTAAGAACCATTTCCTGCTGGACTGTATTGAAGGGACAGGTTTCATCATAAACCACCACTGCTTCCATTTCTGCATGAGCAAGTGCCCACTCAGCTTTTAAGGCTTTTGACTGAAGCATGACCCCAACAGAATGCCGCTGTTTATGCCTGTGTTTTCCCCACTCCAAGGGGAAGACTGTCTGTTTTCAAGTACAGAGTTACTATCTGTAAGCTAGAAAGAACGTGATGTTATCATGCCATAGAGAATAAAGGCCTTTGTTTCCTCAGAGACCTCTAATGGCTTCTGTGAAGAATCCTAGGGAATTCCCGTACATTTATCTTCCCTCTTCCTAAAAAAAAGCCATCAGATTAACAGTCACTGCTTGGGGACTGCTGATTCTGATACCAGCCTCTCCGTTGTCCAGTTGTCCTCATGATGCAACCTTTCTGAGAGGTCCAAAAAACTGATTTCATTCTGTCACTTCCATCCCTGGACACTTCCAATGGCTCCGTCTTCCTCCTGCATCAACTCCTCTGCCTGGCCTAGAGGCTGTTTCATAAACAGTCCCATCTGGGCAATCTAATAACTTCCTTCAGAGAGTCCTTTATTTATAGAATTGTGGTTCAGCCAATAGGCCACTCAGATTGCATTTTCTCATAGAAGGAATATTTTACAAGGTGCTGAGATGCCAAAACCAGGCTGCAAGAAGCCAATTAACCTATAAGGTATTAACAGTTCTCATACTATATCCACAACATATTCCATCCTCTGCCCCACCACCTCCCCTTACAGTGAGCAAATGTCAGCAAGAGTTCTCACATGGATTGCTAAGTGAATTTCTTACTCACTAGGATTACTTCTTGGGAGATGGAGGTAAGATTAAAAGCAATGTTACAAATCAATCCAAATTTTCTAACTCAAAAGGAAATTGCAAAGAATACATCCCTCACTCCTCATCAACACCATCTAGGTGGCCATAGTGCTCCTGGTAGCTGTGACATTAAAAAGTGGATTTGACTTGAGTTTAGATCGGGTAAGGCAGAGGCCTTTCCTAGGCAAGTGTAACTTAATATCTCACACAAAAAGTCACAAATAAGAACACGTTTCTATACCGTTCTGGCTGCAAAAATGAAGGTGTCATTTAAATCTAATCATTTGCTGTGTGACTAAGAAATAAAGCACTGCTCGTTTGAATCCTCCCCCCCCCCCACCCCCCGCCCCCGGCCTCTGTCAGGGAGTGTATGTGGTTGTTCTTATATGGAGGAATTAGTAACTAGAAACAACTGGCACTTCTCTATAGGAAACTCTTGCTCCCCTCAAGGCTGGCTCCCCAGGTTCCATCCTTCCTATCCCTTTGCTTCTGATTTTTGATTCTTCTAAGTCACAGAACATGGGATTGTGGAACTGCCAGATAGTCTCTTTTTTGTACATGTCCAAATGTTCTGCATCTTTAAAGCCCACCTCAGTCCTCCCCGGGGCACTCCCTCTCTTCTCTTGCTGTGGTAGACAATTATTATTCTATATACCCACCACTCTTCTCTTTTTATGGGAACAGCTCTCTTCTCCTTTTTGGGGAACTCCTTCTTTTCCCACCTCCTGCCTCCCATCAGCTGTTACCAAAGCGATCTAATAAGATTCCATCTCCATGACCACAGTGAATGATACTCGATTAAGCTGGAAGCATATGGAACTTCTGCACACTCCTCATCACAGTGATTAGCCAACGGGCCAATCTCTTCCCTAAGAATTGTGAACTGGAGCTGCTGTGACGAACCTTTTCCTTCCTGGTCACGTGCTATGTGGATGAGCCCATTCTAGTTGCCAGAGACTAACTGAAGGAAGTCAATCTGCTTTGTAGAGAAAATCAACTACAGGAGAAGAGGATAGAACTGAGAAGCAGAGAGAAGAGAGAAGCTAGATAAGACACAGAGTCATTCTTGAGGCCAACTTTACTCCCACCCTTCTAATAGTTTAACTAAAGAAACTCTTTTCCTTACACTAATTAAGGTTGAGTCTTCCTCATAAACAAGAGTCCTGGCATCCACTAGCCCCTTTCCACAGACCTTCTCAATTTTTATATGGCCTCATCATTTGCCTTATCCCTTTGCAAACTAATGGCTTCTTTTGCATAGGCTTTGTTCTCTAATTGGATTGTGTGACTTGCGAGTAACTTAAATTTAGCAAAAATGCTTATATCATCATCCTGGAAGGAAGCTCAGGAAATGCTTGGAGGCTATTATTGGAAGAGCTTCCCGAACAGATGTGTTACATGTTTGTTGGACATTATCAAATATTATTAGCTCAGTTGGGTACATGTAAAAGGAAGACAAGAGTCAGTAGATTCAAGTCTTGTCTCTTCCTCTTGGTGGCGCTGTTGAAACTACTTCACCTTTCTGACCAGTTTCCTCTTTTTATTTTAGATAGGGACAATAACAGGTTGGTCATGATACTTTGGGTTGCAAGGCACAGAACTCCAATTTAATTTGGGTTAAATAAAAAAGGACTTTTTAGTCTCATCTAATTTAAAGAGCAGCAAAGTAAGTAGATCTTCAGGTACAGCTGGATATGGGTAAACAAATCATGTCAGTCTCTTCATCTCTTGGCTCTAATTTTCCCCTCTGAGGCCTTATTCTTAGGTAGGGGGTCCCAAACTGGCAAAAGCCACAGATGTCACCATAAAATCTGTTGCTGCCCACCCCACACCATGTGACTGCAAGGATTAGATATCTCTAACAGTACTTTGTGTACAGAAATGACCATCTGATATTAGTAATTATTATTAAAATGCCCAATCAGAAATGTCACTGGTTGCTATCTAAAGCATCTCTTGACACTACAGTCTGATTAGAATAGTGGAATCACACATATTGTAGCAAAAATTCCTTGGAACAGATTTACTGCCATCAGGATTTTACATTCTCATTATAATCTGGATGCACAGCCCTTGGATTTTCAAAATACTCCTTTCAGTCTTAGGAACTCAGAACCTTTAGTGACAACACATCTGTAAGGGACTTGCCAATCCCAGTTTAGTAACTGAAGGGCATTGAGATGAAGCTAATTAGATAATAGCACACAGACAAGCAGAGCCAAGGCAGGACAAGGATTGTGGGTTTTCTGCTTTCCAGCCCACAATGTTGAAGGATCACACACTTTTCTCCATCTCAGGGGAGCGAGAAGGGCAATATAGCAAAAACAAGTTGATACAGAGTAGAGAATCTCCTCCTCAGAGACAAGAGCATCAGGTCTGTGGGATTTCTTTCACCAATAGAGCACTCCTTCACTTTGATGCAAAACTTGTGACCGTGTAATTTCTGGAGGAGAAACTTGAACTCAATACAACTTGGGTCTTCATTCTTTCATGCCCTTAAATCTTTGATAACTACCTAATAATAACGAAAATGATACTATTTACAATAATTGCAGTAATTTTTAGAATCCTCACTTCAGGGTTTGTCTTCTTTCACCTTGATGGGCTTCCCACTGAAGCACATGCGAAAGTCCCTAATTCGCTCTTGGCAGGGATGATGGTGGTTTGTGAGTCAGGTTTTGCCTTTGGGGAGGTCTGGAACAGGATGAAGCATTTCTGTTTGCTTCATTTTCACATAAACTTCTATTTCTTTGAGAAATTTATAAATTTCGAGCTTTTCTGAAGAAATATATCTAGTGTTGGTATTACCATGCAGGGACTGACGCAGTGAGAGGACGGGGAGGATATTGAGGAAAACATGGAATTCCCTATTTAGGGCAGACTTATGCCCTTGAAATTCAGGAAGCCTAAGCACAAATATGAAGCTATTTCTGTATTATTCTTAAGAAACCTTTGCTCCTTTCTTCCCCTGAAATGCTGCTGCTCCTGCCACTGTGCTGTTTATCTCCCAAACCTGTGTTAAACATTCTAATTCTCAACCAAAAGTTTCTGAAATTCTAAATGTCAAAAGTTTCCCATTCTTAGTGACTCGTGGGGGCCAGAATCCAGCTAGTTCTTAGAGATTTCCACCTGGTTGGAGAACTGGCATGTGCTAGCTTATATCATGGTGAAAAACATGTCCGTTTGTTGATTTGCACTTGAAAAATTCTTACAAGTATCTATGACAAATAAAATGCTTGTTTTGAAAGTTTAAATACTGGGAAAGCTATGAGGTTTCCACTTTTTATTAAATCCATCTTAGTCTTCTTTCTTGATTATACTGGGCATACAAATGCACAGCGTTATTAATAGCACCACTGAAAGTAATCCCTGTTACTAAGCACACATTATTTCTGCCTTTCTAACTTTAACCATAACAATAGATGTCAACGTCACTGTCAGTAATAGCATCTTCTCACACGAAAGACAATCATCATAAGTATTTATCTTTGTCATTTGTTTGTTGTCCATTTCAATTCCTCCATTAGCTCTTTTTGTCAGATTAATTATAAAGATCTCTTTCCATTTTTGCTTCAGAGATCCAGGATTGATCTCTGAAGCCACAGATAATTCTGTCTTTGTAATTGTACCCTTCCCTGTCAGGGACATTGATCAGATGACTCCTAAGATGGGCCAGGAGTGACTATTGCTGATATGAAAAGACTGGAACTCTGTCAAAGCTTTTGCTCAGTGCTTTGGTGGCAATCACATGCCCACACACCTAGGTAGACTCAGAGTGACATGTTCTCTTTTCTCTGAAGCAGTGTTTCTTATCCCGGGTGGAATATTAGAATCACCTTGGGAGCTAAAAACAAGTCAAGAAACAACAATAACAAAAGAACAATAAAACCCTGCCTAGGTGACCTCCTAGCTCAGTTAAGTCAGAATCTTGGCGACCGAGCCCAGGACTTCTGAAATCCACTGCTCTATGGTTATAAAGAGTCACAGAGCACAGGACTCACTGTGTTTTCAAACACTAGGGTATTTATCGAGATGAATAAGCAGAACAAATCTGCAAATCCCAGCATGACATTCGAAAGCATTTCCACCAGGTATGCTTTTGCTGCAGACTTTTAGTTGTCACAAGACGGGAAGGGGATGCTACTGGCATCCAGTGGGAAGAGGGCAGAGATGCTAAGTAGCCTACAACGCCCACAACAGCCTCCTACAACAAAGAGTTTTCTAGGCCAAATTGCCAATTGAGGTTTCGAAAACTTGCCCTAAAAGAAGGTGACTTTCCCCTTTTGCCAGGACTCTGTCTGTAAGCTCTACTGAGCTGAAATTCAAAGCTCCCAAAAGGTCAAAGGAAGCTTAGTGCATCTCTTTTTAGACTGATTGGTAAAGGATGCTGTCGATTTTTTGAATCATCTTCATATCCTCCTTCACTCTAAGAGAAGGGACATTTAGTGAAGGTGCGGGTGATCAGATTTCTACAAATCTAGTCTTCAGTTGGCTAACAGGAGATTCGTTTCTTCTCCCAACACCAGTACAGAGACATTGCAACACCCTTAGAGGGTTTTCAGACTTGCAGTGGATGGCAGATTTTAAAATTTACATCTCCTAGCAGTTTTGACAACATCTTTCTTGACAACCTTCCCCTAAATAAATATTTTCTTAAAAGAAAGTAGAAAGGAAAATTTATTCAATGCACAAGATAGTCATCAACATGTATGTATAAGTCACATGATTTTAGAGTAAAAAAAACCTCATTGTCAAACGGCAGTTCAGAGAAGTTGATATTGGCCGAAGTCTCACGGATAACGACTAAATTGGGACTGATACTCACATCTCTTGACGGTTTACCCACTGCCCTTTCTACTAGTCTATACATTTTTTCAAATGTGAGTCACAGCCAAAGATCCAATTCAGTAGTGTCAAGTTTAGCCATTTAAAAATTAATGACTCTTTTGGGTTATTCCCCGAATAGGGCTAAGAATGTCATCTGTTTACTCAAGGACAGTTATATCTCAATGTGGAGAGATGGAGGCATTAGATTCTGACAGCCTGATGTAACAGATTGTATTTTCCAGAAATGACTGCCATCGATATCCCATCCTACAAATTCTTTTTACAATGTGACTGTAACACTGCTCCCAAAGAGAGATAAGGTCTGCATCCCCTCCCCTTGAACCTGGGAAGAACTTCTCAACTGCCTTATCCAATAGAGCACAGTGTAAGTGATGTGTGTGACTTCCTAGCTCACTTCATAAAAATGCCATGCATTTCTGCCTTTTTACTCTTGGATGTTCTCTCTTGGAACAGAGCCATCACACTATGAGAAAGCCAAGTAGCCATGGGAAGGGACCACATCCAGGTGCCCCAGCCAAAAGCCCCAGCTGCCGTCATGATAGACAGCCAGCATCAGCTGTCAGACATGTGAATGAGTGAACCCACAGATGATTCCAGCCCCCAGGTGTCGAATTCCCTCCAGCATTCAGGCTGTTCCAGCTGATACCATGTAGAACACAGACATGCAGTGCCTGCTGAATCCTTCCCAAATTACAGTTTTGTGGGCAAAATAATGACCATTGATGTTTTAAACCACTAAGTTTGAGGTGCTTTGTTACTTAGTAGTAGATGACTGATACACCTGGCATCATTAAGCTTTTGAATTATACAACTAAGTTAGCTTCTTGTGATCATACTTGGTTCACAATAGACTTTCAATAATTACTTAGTTAATAATTGATTGAATTAATAGAATTGAATTGAATTGATTAA